TTTGAAATAGACTACCCAGCCTGAGTGTTTTCAACAATGAATACTGACAGTCATGTTTGTACACACACACACACACACACACACACACACAACACACACACACACACACTGAGTCTGTTTTGCTGCATGTTGAAAAAACAAATACAATCTCATGTTGAGTCGATCATGTTTGCACTCTGAAAACTTTCATCTGTCTTTATTATTTCACAACAGGTTTGTTTTTTCTAACTTTTTTTGCATCCTTCCAATCCGTGTTCAGGATCAGTTTCTGTGTGTAAATTGGTGGTGTTCCTTTAATGTGTAGTTTCAGTATAGCTAGCAGCGTATCAAACTCTGACATCCTGAAATACACCTGAAGTGATGCTGATCATTCTGCAGCTCTTTTATCAACAGGGGAAACTCTCCTGGCTCTTGTCTTGTTTTCAGGAGTGGTGGACCCAGATTTTATTTCTTTATTTTTTAAGGACCGAAAGAATCACAAAGTCATCCTCACGGCTCGATGACTCCATTCTGTCTCACACTGACAATTTTCAGAATGAAGAGAAGAATGAACACATCTGACTCAGAGTGTGAGTTCCTGTAACGTTTTGATCGGATTACAGATCTGAAAAACACATTTTAAAAAAACAGACTCAGTGTGCAAAGACCTTAAAGATGAAACAACCCCCATGGTTGATGAAAGCAAACGCCATGCTCCTGTTTAAAAGATGTTGATGTGAGTTTTCAAGTCAAATGTTTGACTGAAACATCAACACCTCCTCTCTACTTTGATCCTTTGTGTCATTTATGGAATAAAGAAACAACACAGTGTTTAATGTGTTGCTCAGTGTCTGCTTTGCTCTTCATATTTCATTTGTAATAAAGAAGCATCATCAGTGTGTCTCTTGTTGCAGGTATCAAGCATGGCAACGTCTGCAGAAACAGAGGGAACATATTCAAATGCAAAAAGAACTTGTTTTGGCCCTTCTCCCACCTGATTGTGAGTAAAATGTATTTACATCATATACAGTATGTATTCTTTCAGATGAAGCTATGATCATCATTTAAATGTTTCTTTCTTAAGTAAAGGATCTTTGTCATGTCTCTATTGTTCATGAATGAATGTTTATTTCATATTTTGATAATGACATTTTGTAAATCAACATTTTAAAGCCGGACCGTCTTCTCCTTCAGAGAAAATGACATGATGCTTTATTAATGAACATTTTGGTCAACGACACAAAGTATAAATAACATGTTTCTTTTTTTTTACACTTTGATCATATTAAAAAATGAGCTGCTTTTGATTTTAATGTTTATTTTGATGAAGAATAATCACACAATGCTTATTACTCTATGCAGGATGGTGGAGGAGGAAGAAGAGGTGGTGGATGAGGAGGAGGAAGAGGAGGAGGAGGAGGAGGAGAAGAAGAGGTGGTGGAGGAGGAAGAGGATAAAGAGGATGAGTAGGAGGAGGAAGAGGATGAAGAGGAGGAAGAGGAAGTAGAGAGGAAGAGGATAAAGAGGATGATGAGGAGGAGAAGACCAAATCAGCGAGGGGGGATGGGAGAGGGTCAGGGGGTTTCTTGTCTAATACTGTAACCACTTGGTAATCACCTGCTGTCAATACTGCTGTACAATCATGAAGAAAATGTATAATAAAGTTTAAAATAAAAGCTTTTCGATCTACATGCATATAGACAATGGGGTATTTTATTTTGAAAAGAGAACCGGAAAGCTGTGTTTTATTTTGCAGCGGTTGTTATGACAGTAAGAAGAGACATTTTTGGCCGCCGTTGTTTTGAGATTCACATCATGAGAAAATAACTCTTAGGCATTTTAAGGTGCGCAGTGTCACGTGAGTATAACGATATGTGATTTTAAAAGCACGTGTGTAAATCGTGACTGTGACGTAATGACGTTTGTTGATTGTTTTACCGACTACCGTGTGACGTCAGCCCTCCCAGCTGTCTGTAACGTTGCGTAAACTCAGTTTCTGTAGAGAAAACAGGAGATTTAACTCATTTTATTTGTTAAGCTCACAGCAACAACATGTAGAAACGAATGACGCTTTCGATTTGATATTTTTAGACAGATTTGTTTAATTTTAGGCTCAAAGACTCGTCTTCGTTGTCTGTTTTGAAGCAGCCAGTCATGGATTCCGCTTTTGAGAGGCACTGCTCGGAGCTGGTGGCCCGGGAGAGGAGCGGACACACGGCCGTGGTGTGGAGGACAGCCTGCTGTATGTGTGGGGGATACATGGTGAGAAACAACCAACAAACGACTTTCTCAAGATTCTCATGTGTCTGCAGCCGCAAGCAGTGTGACACTTAGAGATAACTTAAAGTCTGCAAAGGGATACAATCATTTATAAAAGTGAAGTAAGCAATTCAAATAAAACAAAATACAAACACAGTTATAAAACAGGCAGCATACTATGGAAGCCCATTTCAGCCAGTTAAAAAAATAAAAATGAAAATAATAAAGTCATAATAATGAGATAAAAAGTCAAAATTATGAGACTTTATTATTTTCATTTTTTTTTTTTTTTACTGGCGGAAATGGGCTTCCATAGCATACAGTTAGCACCACAGATCATAGATTGAATAGGACACCAGTAAATACTCATGTAGTGTTCCTTGTTCTCAAATATCATACTTTAGAGATATAAATTAACACATTCTTTTTATTCTGCATCCTTCATCAAAACATGATAAAGTGACATCAGTGCTCAATACCAGAGCCCGACCGATTGATCTGCAAGCCGATAATATCGGCCGATATTAGCACATCCAGTGACTATCGGTATCAGCTAATTTTAGTGCAGCTATGTGCTGATATTACTCGATTTATTCACCAGTCAAATAGCATTTCAGTTGAGCATCATTGTATTACACTAGCAGTTCTCTGTCACCAGCAGAGGGCGCTACATGGATTACAACAAGCATCATCACTCTCCAGAGTGTCAAGAGGTGAAGCAATCTTTTCTAAAAGTGTTTGATGACTGCATTTAAGGGATCAGCGCAATAAATGTGTTTATCCATCTCTATCTATCTCTACAGATCGAAATACAATCTGAGAAAGACATCGGCCGATATATCGGTATCGTTTTCTCTCTCTCCCTAATATCGTTATCAGACACAAAAAACCTGTATCGGTTAGGCTCTATTTATAACACATTAAAAACATTGATTTTTAAATTCTGTAAAGACACATGGTGCCCTAAGAAAAACGGTTTCACTCTGACCTTAAAGTTTATTCAGCAGACGACAACTTTCAGCTTTGATGTTTTTTCATGTTGATAATTTACTCACATAATCACAAACAAAGAGAAGTGTTATCGTTGTTTTTAACTTTAATGGAGGTGTTGTATTTTCAGTCAGTCGCTGATGATGAAGTGTTTCTACCCAATGATGAAATCTGGGCGTACGACCTCGAACAAGGCTCATGGTAAGAACACTGATTACTTCATATTGATTGTGTTTATGTCTGTCAGGAGACAAAAGTCTTTTTTAAAAACACTTTTCTGTCATAATGATCCTCTAAATATCTTTCTGCTGTCTGATCGTTGGTGTGAAATGTGTCCTGACATGATTACGAGTTGTTTATTCACTATTTTTATTTTAAATAATCATTTTGAAGGAAAGTGTTTCACATGCCAGGGGAAGTCCCTCCCTCCATGTCTGGGACCTGCAGCTGCTCCCTGGATGGTCACATGTACATATTTGGAGGCTGCGATGACTTCGGACAGACCAATCAGGTGAGGCTAAGAACTGCTAGAGATGCACCCGTCCACTTTTGTTCAGTTCTGATCTGATTCAGACACAAATGTTCGGCCAACAGCAACTGATTCAGATATTTAAAAACATAATAAATAGTGTTGAGGCTTCACAAAGCTGTAGTAAACCCAGCATAGCATTTCTTACTGAAAGAGAAAAAATTAAAAATTAAAAAATTAAAATGATTCCAAAGAAACTAATCTGAACTTTGTGCTGGCTTCAAATACAAACAGGAAGCAGCAACAACTGTCAGGATTTTTAAATGAAATCTTTTAAACTGAAATTGTGAGAATCCTTTTAGAAGGAGCTGTACCAACTTGTCTGAACGTCGTCATGGAGACGATTTGTGGACACTCCTTACAGTTCAGTCTGAACGTCTTCAAAGTGAGCCTGAGCGAGCCGAGTGGTCGCCTTTACTTTAACATTCACACATTATGAAATGACTTCGGTGAGCTTAAGAGCATTTTAAGACAGCAAATAAAATGTAAAATTTGCCTTAAGGGTGTGAGTGTCTTGCTGTGTAAAAAAAAATATATAAATATATATTTTGTAGCAGGACGGCGTGCAACAGGAAACACCTCATCGGCTCTACAGATAATTCTGCAACATTTCACGTTTCAAACATTTCTGCCCTTTGATTCTTGTGATCATCAGTTCGCTGATGGTCAGAGGTCAGAGTTGAACAGAGTCGACATGAAGCAGTGATCAGTGTTTGACTTCAAACAGATCTATTGTGTCAACCTGACAGACGGCAAATACACATGGAGGAAGATCACGCACCAGGTTGGCTCGGCTCCCTCACCTCGAGACAAACTGTCCTCCTGGGTTTACAAAGGAAGGTGAGTGAGAGACGGACTTTTAGTCTGCCGTCTTTCTCCAGCACTTTGTTACTGAAGGCTGCAGCTTTCACTTTTATTCTCACTGATCAGAGCAGTCATGAGGAGGATCGGGCTCTGACTCATAGATGCTGTTTGTTTGTGCTATGAATCTATGAATCTGGTGTTTGCATCCTTTACAGGACTGTAGCCTCCATACTTAGGGCACGCACTAACCACTAGGCTACCAGTGCCCTGTTTTATTTTTTTACTTAGATATTTCTGGGGGGTTTTTTGCCTTTTTTACATAGGACAGCCGATGAGAAACAGGAAATGCTGGGAGAAGGGAGAATGGGGGATAACGTGCAGCAAAGGGCCGAGGTCGAATTTGAACCCACAGCCGCTACGTCGAGGACTCCAGCCTCGTGCAATATTACCGTGCAATATTACCGTGCAATATTACCTCTAGGCTACCGGACCCCATGTGCTGTTTTTGTTTTTGTTTATGTTCTACACCTTCACACAAATGGCTTTATTTAAAGTTAACTCATTTGATTTTTTTATATTTTCTGTCCAAATAATTTATCCTCAGTCATGCACAGTTTGTAGTAGTCATAATGAAAACTGTTGATTTGATTCTGTGCTCATTGACTCAGCTTCAGTTTTGATTTTAACCTTCTTATTCAACTCTTCTCTTTTTTTACTTCCACAATAAACAAGATCACATCCTATCTTACCACCGCTATACTCTACATGCTTATGTCTTATTATGTGGTGACAAAAATGAAAACAAGTACTAATGATTGAGTAGTTTGCTCCCTCTTTAGAAGACAAAAACACATGTTGTAGGATCTGCATCACAGTAAAAGATCACGTTTGTTTGACGCTCTGCAGGATCGTCTACTTTGGAGGATACGGTCACAAACTGCTGACTGACGTGGACAGCAGGAACAGAAGCTTCATTGTGGATGAAGCATCATCAGTAATGTATTTTTAGTGACTGAATGTGTCTCACGTCCTAAACACTGCTGCTAAGGAAAAAACTAATATTTAAAGGTCGCATATCATACTCCGTATCAACACGTTTAAAAACATCCAGAGATCCCCAAAACAAAATCCACTCTGATCCTGTATTTGATCATGTCTATAAACCCCTCTATTTCAGCCCTGCTCAGAACAGGCTGTTTCTGTGTCTGTACCTTTAAATATGTAAATGAGCTGTGTCTGACCACGCCCCCTCTCTGGAAGGGCTTGGGTGTCTCGGGCTTTCTCGCTCCATGCCCTATTGTTTACGGTGAGAAGGCAGACTCAGAGGACAGAACAAACACCTAGCTGTGGGAGTGTCACCCACCTGGGGGAGGGGCTACTGCCCTTTGTGATGTCATGAAGGGAAAATCTCCAAACGGCCTGTTTGAGCACACATTTTCTGAAAAGTGGAGCAGGCAGAAGACGGAGAGGATGGACTTTTCTCATCATTTGGGGGGTTTGTAGACAGAATAGAGACACATGTTAGAGTTAGAAAAACATGAAGTATATTTTGTATTATATGTGACCTTTAAAAGAAATCACTCAATTTGGTCATTTGGAGTTAATGGTGTCATCTTATATGACAATTTCTTTTGAAGTATGTCCGTTTATTTGTCTTGTAAATCATCAGTACTGATTCATAAATCAGTTTATAAGTTTCCCGTTTTGCATTGTTGCTGTTTTCAGGTAGGGGACATTTTCTGGGGATGGAACAACGAGGTTCATACATTTGACCCCATGCATTCCAGCTGGAGTCAACCGCAGACCCACGTGAGTCCTTTATGATGTCATTGACACCGGGCCAAATAACGTCTACTACTGTAACCTGTAAACACGTTGCTGTACCACCTGACCACACAACCTCCAATCACCATTGAGTTTCTGAAATAAATCAGATCGCTCCCAAAGCATCGACTTACAGGACATAAAAATGACCCACATTCTCCACAAACATGTAGCAACGATCTTCAGCTGATTTGATGTGATGGTTTGCGTGTGCAGGGTCGCGCTCCCGCCCCGAGAGCTGCTCATGCCAGCGCCACGATTGGACGCAGAGGGTATATCTGTGGAGGTCGAGTCATGGTGAGAACTCATCGTGCTTTTTTACTTCCATATCAGGAGATTAAAAACACCACACAGCACACTCACAGCTTCTTCTTCTCTTATTCAAATGCAGGAGACCAGGACGAACGACATCCACTGCCTTGACCTTGAATCGTGGACGTGGTCAGAAATGTGCGGGGAAGTTCTAAAATCTGTTGATATGATTCTATGTACACGATGAAATGAGACGGCCTAAATGTTGCCAGGGTTTTTTTTTTTTTCTTCCAGAGTCCCGGCGTCGAGCGCTCCGGTGGGCAGGTCGTGGCACACGCTCACCGCCGTATCAGACAACGGCTTGTTCCTGTTTGGAGGTCTCAGCGTGGACTGCAAACCAATGAGTTAGAAAAATCCATCCACTTCTCCTCTTCTGTTTGCTCGTAGACTCTGATCACTGCATGATCTTTAAATGTTTTTTTTCTTGATCAGGTGACGGCTGGTTGTTTGATGTGGAAACAAAGACGTGGAGAGAAGTGGAGCATCCCTTTAAGACGAAGCCGAGGTGCCAACTTACCGATATTAGACTTAGCTTCTGGTTTCAGTATTTCTATGTGCAGATTTAAAAAAAAAAATGGTTTCTCCTCATGTTCCAGGTTGTGGCACTCGGCTTGTCCAGGCAAAGACTTTGATGTGATCGTGTTCGGTGGAAGCTGTGACTACATCCTCCTTGTGGACACTGTGAGTATCACAGGAGACACTTTGTGAGATAAAAAAGAGAGAGATGAGGAGCTCTTCTTATAGAGCGCCACAGGAATGAGTCCTAAAACCCGGAAGTAAGTTAGCATTTAAGCGCCATGGGGTCTAACGTCTGAAAGTCAAGGGATTTGAATGTGTTTGTGGTTAGACGCCTGAAATAAGGTCTGTGGTTAACACAAGCTGAAGAGATGTTGGTGTTTAGTTAGACCGCATAAACTACGTTAGGTAATACCTCCACTTGTGAAATTTTAAGTTTTTACTCGTCTTTAAAAAGGCGGTTGCTAACAAGCGGCTAAATGTGACTACAGTGGTTGTCGGGGACATTAAAGGTCATCACGCCGGACACAGAGGGCGGGAACTCTCTCACTAGTCGGAGATGTTTCCTGTAGGTTTAATCTTTAGGTTAAGGTGAATATTATGTTAGTAAACTATTTATTAAGCTACGTGGATTAGTTTATCGGAGATCGTCTGAAGCATAACGTGACGTCACAATCATCCCACCGTGGTGTAGTTAGCTTGTAGCATAACGTTAGCTTTTTACTTCTGTCGGCCGCATTAACTCTTCAAACATCATAAAAATGGCGTTCATCTGTGGAGATTATCCTGCTGAACAAAACGCCTACGCTTCAGAAACGTGTGTTTACCACAGAGATTATTTTCTGCAATGATCCAAAATCCAATAAAAACATCCCAGAGGAGAATTCTCATTAGACCCCCATGGCGATGCTACTTAAGGGTTGGCCTATAAAAATACATCATTCGGTTTGTTCTCTATTGAACAGCTCTTAAGAAATCATGACACTGAACTAGTAAAGGGTTCAGGATTTCACATTAACACAGAACATTTCTGAAGCTATGTGAAAGGAAGCTCAACTTCATAAACAGGATGTATTCAGAGGCCGTTCAGTGTCCCTAATCTCTCACTCGTTTAGGGCTTTCACACTTGCAGAAAACGCCTGAAAAACTCCAGATAGGAGCTGCATGTGTGAACGCAAACAGCCACTCGGACTTTATCCAGAGTGTCTCCTGTCAGCTCCTTATTATTTCTTTTTCTGCATAAAGTCTGAGTGCGCTGATGTGAGAACGCAGCAGGATATAATCCGGAGAATTCCCCTCCCACAAGTGGGATGGGGTGATGATGTCTTTATTCTGAAGCCAGTGCACCGCTACGATCTCAGTGCACTTAAATAAACTGCTGAGTAATGTTAGTTAGTTTGTTCTTCTCCTCTTTTGTTGATATTATGACACGTAGAATGAATATGAAGGCAGATATTCTCAATATAGCATCGTATAGCAGACTCTGTTGCTTCGTCTACTACTCCCTTTTTACATCAGTCTTGCCTCAGTAGCCCCCCTGCCCCCCCTCCCGTCTGACAGGTATAGACTCCAGCTGTGAGGAGCATAATGTGAACAGCCGGGTCAGGAGAATCTCCAATCAGTCCTCCTGAAATGATCCAGATATTTTCATGAGTGCTTATGTGAAAGCGACTACAGAGTGCTGATTAACACCACAGAGATAACCTCCATGACACTAACAGCTTTAACTTTTTAACAGATAACCTTTTTTTTTTAAAAGTGAAGCACATCAAGCTCCACCCTGCAGTATCTCCTCCACCATGTAAATCCTTATCACGAGCCACGGGGAATAAAAGATGAGCTGCACATTTTGAAGTTTAGATGCTTGATGCTAAAAAAAACTTCCATCTGAAAAACGACAGACTTGGGAGACCGTTTTAAACCTTCAGTATTTCTTTTTCAGGGTCACTGCAACGATGCACTTGTCTTCCAGACGCAGCCGTATCCTCTATTCAGGTAAACAACATCAGACGTCACAATAAGAGATTTAATAAAGAAGACGTTTAATACAGGTGACAACAGACGGACAAAAAGCAAGTCTAAATAAATGGGTCTTCATCTGTTTTTAAAAAATGTCCTCAGAGTTCACATCACACGACTCTGTTCGTCATGAGTCTGTTTCTGCACAAGATGTCTCTTAGAAGGACGTTTTATTTCCTCTCCACTGTAACTTTGCTAAATGTTGCTTAGTGCTCATGATGGATTAACGTTGAGTCTTTTGTAATAATGAGTAAGGTCTTTAACCTGCTTTTTGTAATAACATTTTCTATGAATTGGTGCCATTCAAACAAAGATTGATTGACTTTTTAGGTTGCTTCAAAATTGATTTCAGTTCCCTCTGTGCTTCTCTTGTGATGGCAGGTTAAAATGATTCTTGGGGTGGTGGTGGTGCCTAGTGGTTGGTGCGCACGCCCCATGTAGAGAGGCTTAAGTCCTCTAGAGCGGGCGGCCCGGGTTTGAATCCGACCTGTGGCTCCTTTCCCGCATGTCTCCCTCTCTGTCCCTCCTTTGTTTCTGACTCCTTCTCTGTCCTGTCTCTAAAATAAAGGCATGAAAATCCCCCCAAAATACATCTTAAAATTAAAAAAGGTCATGTTTTTACTCTGATTATGTAAACTTTCCCCCCAACATAGAAATGCAAAATAACCAACGACTCTGTCCTCTGATAGGATCTGTGTGGATTACATCGCAAAGAGCGCGAGGAACTCAGACCCCCTCCGACATCAGCTGCCTCTCCTGCCGTCCAAACTCCTGACGGCAGTCCAGACGAGGATGTGTTTCTACAGGCCGTCAAAGAGGCCGAAATCTGAGTCACCGTGACGTCTCAAGTTGCCAACAACACAAAACTGTTTTACATCCTTTTATTCCAGTACTGTCCTTCCTTCAGTGTGAACATCTCAGCCACGCTCAGGGCCGGCCTTTTTTATTCTTCTTAATCGGTATTTATCATTTTATGGTGTTTAATTTTTTGGGGTTTTACAGACGCTGTGGGTTTCATGTGTACAGTCTGCCTGCTGGTATATTATAAAGAAAGTTGCTTTAATGGCTGTGAGGATTAAACGGCATGCTGAACACTTTTTTTTTTTTTGCCTGATGTGGATTTTTATACTTGAAAGCTTCTCGTCTTTTAAAGATATTTTTTGGGTCCATTTTGGACAGCTGAAGAGAGTTGGGAGGCGAGAGAGAGTGGGGGGGGTTGACATGCAGCAAAGGGCAGAAGTCGGATTTGAACCCACAGCTGCTGCAATGAAGACTGCAGCCTCTCTGTACGTGGGGCGTGCAACATATATTTTTATCCCTGCACAGGTTATGTACATTTCTTGTATAAGTCTGTTTTTTAATTGCACAGTTTAAGTTTGATTCATCTCGGGGGATTCTTTCAATCTTTTTTTCAGGTTAATATATATATGTATGGGGCAGGGGGCGGGGGGAGGGGGGGGCGTCGGTTTTGTGGTTAATTTGTAACAAATGTTTCATGTCATGTACGTCTGTGTAACCTGCTACTGGAGGGATCAATGCTAAGTATCTATCTTATCTAACCACTAAGCTACCGGCGCCCTCTTGAAAGGTATTTTGAAGTTTTGAAGGCAAAAAGTTTCCACACATGACAACGAGCCGTACAACAATGGTACATTTTTAATTTGCAGCACAGATTCACAAAAGCCTTCCTCTACATGTCTGGTTAATATTTCTCTTGCGCTGAACTGTAAAACCTCTTGGATGGTGCACAACTCCTGTGTTTCACCACTAAGTGGCAGCAGGCCTTTAAGTTTCAAAGCGCCTGAACCTGGCTGACTGAGAGTCTCCTCGACCACACATTCCTTCTTCATGAGGGTGGAGAAGTAAAACGCAGGAAGGAAAACCTTAAATAAACATCCCAGCTCGTACCTTTGCAGGGTCACCTCTGTAAAAAAAAAAAAAGAGGTGCACACACAGAACTGCTGCTGGAAAAATGTTTTCTTAGCTTCAAGAATGTTCCTTGCTGAGTTTGAGCACATCCATGTTCTCTCCTTTACCTTTTAACAGACAAGTTCAAGAACAGGAAGTGATAGCTGACAAATAAGTGGGAGGTCTGGCTGCTTCAAGGAGGTGAGAGTGACACCTTACCACTGAAGATAACAAACCAGGGAGGCCTCTGTCTGTAAAGGAGAACCTCCTGGCGTCTGTTCAAGATGCTGTTATAACTTCAATTACACTGCTTCATGTAGTTAAATAAGATTTAGATACAAAAGGTCTGGAGTGCTGGTTTTCACATCAACACAGAAAAGGTGAATAAAGCGAATAAGGCATTCCTTAGAGGCAGGAATCTGTCAAAAAGAAACCCTGGTGTCCTTTTACTTTTTACAGGTTTGCTGCACCGTGACAGCAGCTGAAGAGGATGGCAACTTTCCTGCAGCGGTGTCAGCTTGGGGGTCAACTAAACTCTCTGACAATAGTGTCCATCAGCTCTTCTTCTGATCCATCGTACAGGATGACCGGCATGGGATGAGAGGAGCTGTGGCAGGTGCCAAAAGTCCTGGGGAGAGGAGAAGCATAGCATTACAAAAAAACAGGAAGTATGAGTGATACTTTTAAATGAAATGATCTGATAATAACTTCTACATAGGATGAAAAAGGTCGTGGTAAAAAAAAAAAAATGCTGCCTTGCTGAGCTTCTGACATTTTATGCAAATCTGCTCCATTGCTCGTTCTGCTTCAGGTTTCCACCTCCTGCTCTTTACAAGGAAACAACTCACTTCTGTTTGTTTCTGTCCCTCTTGCAGATGTCAGACTAATCTGATCCGCCCCCCGACAATAAAGGGCTGGTATTTCGATCTCTTTAAAAGAGAACTTGATCTGGACCCCTTCTCCGTTTTTTTTTACTACTCCTTTGAGTCTGGGAATCAATGATTCACGAGTGTTGTGGTCTACTTACGGTTGTTGTCCTGATGTGGGAACAGAGTCCAGCAAAGTGTCTCCTGTCAGAAAGCCCTGAGAGGAGGAGAGACACAAACCAGAGATTAAAAAAAAGAAAAAAAAAAGACTAAATTTAAATAAATCCCAGGAGTAATTTATTATGCAGGAAAGATTCTCTCAGATTTTCATTTAGATAGAAAAAAAATGCAGAATATTAATAATTATAACATATTTTGCCAAGAAATGTATATTACTTTTTGGGAAAAAATGAATCTCTGCCAACCTTTAAGTTGTTTTTGGATCAAAGTTAAAGAAACTAACTTTGGAAAAATGTAACCGTGGCCATATTTTTCAGGACTTTTGGCTTCCATTGACCTGTTGCTTGGAGGAATTTTCTAAAGGTTGTCAACAATGATAATGCTATGATGTTATAATATCTATTTTTTTTATTTATTCCCCCTCTTTTTTTTGTCTCCTCTTATTATTTTTACTATTATTATGAAGAGTATTATTAGTATTACAGTTAGGATTGTTTTTCTTGTTTTTGCTTTGTTTTTCTGTGTATGCATGGAGGCCTATGTATGTGTTCATGTTGGTGGAGGGAAGGGATACACTGACATTCTGTGTACAGTTTGGTGGTCGTTGTATACCCATCCCAAATAAAAAGATGATGAAAAAAAAAAAGGAAATATTCTTTACTGTTGGTCAAAGTGAAACTGTTTCAAACTAGCAGATCATTCTTCATTTGTGCAAAGAAATCTTTAGATTGAAATGCTCTTACGTGTTGCTGACAGGCTGACGCAGGTGTGTTTTTTCTGAAGTGTGTGACAGCGTCGTTGCTCCTCTTGTTTACGTCTTTGGGGCTGAGGTCCTCCTCTTCATCGTCCTGTCTGAAGTGACACAGTCCGTATGTCTTGGACCTCATCGCGGCCTTCTTTGGAAGATCTCTCTTAACGGAAGCTCTGTCTCGCTCGTCGTCATCCGCGAGCACCGTGTCCAGCTCTGCGTCGACGTCATCGTCCTCTCGGGAGAAGTCGGAGTCGTGCCCCTCGCTGTGGCTGTCCGGTTGCGCACGGTTGCGCGCGTTTCGCAAAATGCCATGGATCTTGAGAGGCTTGAACGCGCGGCTGTCCTGTTTGGGCGACGCGCCGGCTGCTTTGGCCACGTTCACCTCACTGACGCACGCAGGTGCTACTCTCTTCCCTCGGCTTGTCCCGCTGCCCATGTCCGATCTTTGCTTTGCTCTCAAAGTCTAAATGTTACGTCCCATTGCCAAACTTCCAGGAACATCAGAGTTTCTTTCTTTCTTTCTTTCTTTCCAGAGTTGAACATTAACCAACACAGAATAGATCCGGTAAGGTCACTTTTAAATTAGTTTTACGCACGGAGGAAAAAGAAAGCTCCAAAAGGTCAACTTTCCTCTCTTCTGTGAGCGCAACAGCTGAAATATATTCCACGACCACAGACCGGACTTGAGACAGACTCGCTGCATGTAAACTTTCGGCTGATTCCTCATCAGGATGAAGAGCCGCCGATCCGTTACATAACACCAGTTTGGCTCGGGACCCCTGGGAGAAAAACTCCGCCTTCTTATAGAGAGAAACACACACACACACACACACCCTTTATCTTTCTGATTTTCTTCAGCTTTTACTTTGAAAAGCTAGCTCTGATTGTTTTGTTTGCTTGTTTTTTTCACAGAAGAAGAAGCAGCTTCTGCATCTACGTGTGTAACCACATCATGGATGAATAAAGAGATTACATAAGGACTTGGATGTATGACCATGAAAAGTCTAATGGGGGCTATTACTCTGATTTATCTGTATCACATCAGGGCCTTTTACTCCTCTGTGTTCAGCTAATAGATTTTTATTGAAGCAATTGAGGTCAGGAGTGACTGAGTCCTTGTCTGGCTGCCGGGTCCCGGAGGCCCCCAGCTCAGCCGGGCCCCTCTGCAGACTGATTAAGACTCGCAGCTCTGAGCCAGAACAGACAGAGAGAGAGAGAGAGAGAGAGAGAGAGAGAGAGGGGGGCATTCCTTTCCGACAGCTCGGGCTTCCCAGAGATTCCTCCCTCAGCTTTTGTTTGGTCCACTTGCACATACAAAAGACACAGCGGGAGCGTCTCCCTGCCAGAGCTGGTCCAACAAGAACCCCGGGTTCACCCGAGTAAAAGAAGATGTTTGCTGTCTTTCATTAAGAGCCTCGCTTTTTCTCATTCTCTTTTTTCTTCTTGCTTGTGTGTGCTCATTTGTGTGTGTGTGTGTGCCAGACAGCTGTGCAACCTGTTCTCTGTCTGGACGATGACCAAGTCAAAGACACCTGCTGTTGGAGCAACTGGCATTTTCCAAACTGTGAACGTGACAGGAGAGAAAAAAAAATCTCCCTGCACGTCCCAGATGTCTCCGGGAGGAAATTCCTTTTGACTTTCAAGAAACTGTGTAAGACACGTTTGTTCTTTTCCTTGAATGTGTCTGAAGCTGAACTATAGATCTGCAGTGTGACATCCTGATTCTAACAGCTTGAAGACATCCCTCTCTCTTTGTCTCTTTATGTTTCGCTCTAAAGATGTGATCGTTGTTCCTCTGTTAAAAAAGTGATCTCAGCTGTGCCTTCCAGGGAAAAGAGCTCCAGAGCTAAACTGTAACATCCTCCTGATTGTGTAACAGTTTTACAGAGTTCTTTTCTCTGCAGAACCTCAAAACTTCATACAAATCTTCTAATGTAAGTAGAATTTCTAGCTAAAAGAAAAGCACAAAGACAAGCCGCCTCTCATGCAGTCGTTTCTGTGTGACCTCCATTTCTGCTGTTCTCTTTTGCCTGCTCCAGTGTATCATTAAAAAGATCACGCGGCCACATCTGGAGAAAAACTCAACAGCTTCCAGACGAGGAGGAGGAGGATCCGCCGCAAAGACGGAGGCCAAGGCCCAGCTCGCTGACATAGCTGTGGCTTCTCAGACTTCTCCCACATTCAACAATATTCCTCCTCCCGGTGACGGAGACTTACAAGAGCGAGAAGATAGAGAAGTCTTTGTCAAACCTCTGATGCATGTGGCTTTGATTTGTGCTTGGAAGTGACCTGAGATGATTTTTATAGAAACTGATTTGACTATTTGTGAGCTGCGTCTGCACTCAAAGGGATTTCTGTTCCCTCCAAACAGCAGGAGAGCATGTGTGAGAAATG